GCCACTACCCCCCTTCCCCTGCTCCCGCCCCTGGTCGCGCTTCCGACTGCGGTGCCAGCCGCCGCGGGAGAAGGAAGAAGAGGAGAAGGGGGGGGGACGGGAAAGCGAAGGGTGAGCAGAACCTGAAGCATGAGGCGCAGGCGGGGGAAGAGGATGAGGAAGAACGAGGAGGAAATTTGTCGAAATTTGATGATGGGCGTTTTATTTTCTTTTGCGCAGCCCGCGCGGATGCTGGCTAGCTGCGCGGTGTTCCGGCAGGCGCCAAATGGGTGCATTGGTGGCTGAGGTGTGCCGCGATGACAGCCGAAAGCAGCGTGATTTCATGGCGTCGCCCAGGTCGACTTCGCGTGAAGAAGACTGCTCGAACGTCAAACGGGGGGTCGATACTTTGCCTCCGCGTTAAATCAAGGGCTTTAAAGAACGCCCCTACCCTGGTTTATGAGGCGCTGTGCGCTGAACCTCCTGTCGGCTGACAGGGCAGACGCTGCCTTTCGCTCGTGTCGTGCGGCGTCCTGGCGGCTCTCTGGCCTTTCGGAGCTCCCAGGAGGTTTACAGACCACGCGCTTGTAACCCAGGGTCGGGACGTTTTTGCCTCATTAAAGAAAGCATCGCGGGCCGAAGAGCGCCGCGATCGCAGCTGGAGGCGGCCTGCGCGTAAAATTTCTCTGGCGTCGATCCCGCCTGCGCCCGCATGGTTCGACCGCGGTCCGTGCCGTAGTGGTGTGGGGGCCCCGCGTAGATTCGATCCATGCTGTCGTTGCCCGTGCGCTTCGGGGTGAACTTCTGTTTGGCCAGACTTGTGCGCCAGCCGAGCAGAATCGTCCATGGCCATTTTCGCGGGTGGCATCGTTGTGCCTGTTCGCGAAGTCCCCCGAACGGAGGCCCTCTAAAATCTGGTGCTGCTACGGCAACGAGTCCTCTAAAAGCTGTTTCTGCCACAGATGACCTCCTGCGCGTCGTTATTCCGCTGGCCGAGGTCGACCGCCTCCGCCCGCGGCCTTCGGGGGGCGGCGGTGCCGCCATTGCGGCAAAATGCAAAGCATCGCCACGGTCTGCTTCCGCCAACCTGTCGGCCCACTCTCCTACTTCAAACGGATGCGGTGGAACCCCCAAGTTGTAGGCCTCCTCAATTATCTCCCAGCCATTGGTTTCTCCGTCGGCAGGTTGAGCAACGCTGGCAGGAGGGGCATGAACTGGTTTCGCTGGCGCTGGTTTCGCTGGCGCTGGTTTCGCCAGCGCTGGTTTCGCCCCGCTGGTTTCGCCCCGCTGGTTTCGTTGGCGACTGGTTGCGCCGGCGCTGGTTTCGCTGGCGCTGGTTTTGCCGACGCCGTCGTCGGCGTCGGCGTCGGCGTCGCCGCCGCCGCCGCCGCCGCCGCCGTCGTCGTCGTCGTCGTCGTCGTCGTCGTCGTCGTCGTCGTCGTCGTCGCCGCCGTCGTCGCCGTCGTCGTCGTCGGGCGCCGGGCGTTGGGCCCGAGCGGGAGGGTCGGGTCGGGCGGGCGAACCCGAGCGGGCGGGTCGGGTGGGGTCGGGCGGGCGGACCCTAACGGGCGGGTCGGGTCGGGCGGGCGGGACATTAAAGTGTGGGGCACGCTCGACCGAGCACGCGCGAACCCTAACGGGCGGGTCGGGTCGGGCGGGCGGGCCTTAGCGGGCGGGTCGGATCGGGCAGTTTCGCCGACGGCTGCTGGTTTCGCCGACGGCAGCTGGTTTCGCCGACGGCAGCTGATTTCGCCGACGGCAGCGAGTTTCGCCAGGCGGCGAAACCAGCCGGGCGAAACCGGCCGGGCGAAACCACCCGGGCGAAACCAGCCGTCGGCGAAACCACCGGTTGCCGCAGGAGGCGCGCCTGTCAGGTCCTCGCCAGTGGAAAAGACCTCCGCAGCGACGGCGAAATCGGAATATCCACAGGTTGACGAGGCGAAGTCATGACCGAATCGATGTCGCAACAGAGCCCCGAAAGAGGGGCAATCTACAGGAACGTATGTACAGCACAATAGTTGAGCCACAGTAGAGGGGTAATCGATGGGAACATCCGTAAATTGCACAGGATTCGAGCCGGACAATCTATAATAACATGCGTGAAGCACATGTGGATTCGAGCCACATGAGAAAGGACAATCTACAATAACATGCGTAAAAACACGCGGGTTTCGATCTCCAGGACGGGCAATCCATGGGAACATACGTAAAACACAGGATTCGATCGGCACAAGAGGGGCAATCGATAGGAACCTACGTTTCCCCCAGGCCCCGCGTGTTTTTTGCGGCGTTAGGAACCCATGCGTCTACCCTTCTGGGTGGCTTGGACATGTGAAAACATGTGGTAGAAATTCGGGACCACCATGTTCGATATCCTCTTGGGGGGCCTGTGTTCTTAAATCCACGTAGCTCAAACTCGTGTTAGTAGATGCCGCCCTGGGTGGCCTGGGCACGGTTACACATGTGGTTCCAGCTCGGGACCACCATGTTCGAGGCCCTCCCCCCCTGGGAGGCCTGGACATGTGAAAACATGTAGTTCTAGTTCGGGACCACCATGTTCGATCTCTCCTTGGGTGGTTTCGACACGTGAAAACACGTACAAAACAATTGCCGTGAGCGCCAGAACACCATATTTAATCGAATTGTTGACGCTTCGCGTATCCCCACCAGCTTCTCCAGTCAGTCTGTGTTACCCGTCAGACTCCCTGGATCGATGTCCTCGGGAACTTAAATGCTGAACGGCCTTCCGCGGTGACCCTGGATCGAAGTGGCTCTGAAGGATGCGTCTCGGGTACACGAAGGTCCCGTCCCTCGGGTGCTATCCGACTCGGTCTGGTAGCGCTGAGACACTTTGGAAGTGCACACGCCACGTTGTCGACTGTGTATAGTGCACTACGGCGCCCCTCCACTCGTTGGGTCTGGGCTGACGCATCTCAGTTGTGGAAGGCTCTCCTGTCACGCCCCACACCCTGGATGCGCGTTCTGGCGTCGCGACTTCGTGTCACCGCCAGAGTTTCCCGCTGGACTTATGTCCCCAGTTAGTCTGTGGTACCCGTCAGGCTCCCTGGATCGTTGTCTTCGGGAATGTTCCTTTCTGTCCGCATCTGGACTTCTGGGAACGCCTCGCGCGCCATTTTGGCTGCGCTTGGTCTCCTCGGTGCCTGTCCTCAGGCTCGTTGGATGGACCGTTGCATGCCCGTCCTGGGGCTGTCTCAGTCTCCCTGGATTGCACGTCGGCTGCCGCCCTGGGCGCTGCCTCCCTCGCCGCCTGATCCGCGGCCCCCGCGCGCGCTAGGCAATTTAGCCGCGGTCGTAGCCCGCCCGCGACCTCCCGCCGCTGGCGCTTCCGCCTGCGGCTGTAAAAAAAAATATATCCCCACCAGCCCATCCAGAAACGATGCCCAGGGGAGTTGAAGTGATCAGGGAAGTCGGGGAGCATGCAGAATAGCAAAGGGCGGGGGAAACTGTCACGTACCCCAAGAGGGGGAGGATGGAGAAGGAATCCTCGTCGGAGGGGGAGGGGGAGGAGGAGGAGGAGGAGGAGGAGGAGGAGGAGGAGGAGAATGAGGAGGAGGATGTGGAGTAGGGAGAGGGCGAGGAGGACGAGAAGGAAGAGAAGGAGCAGATGGAGGAGAAGGAGGAGAAGGAGGAGAAGGAGGAGGAGGAAAAGGGGGGTGAGAAATTGAAGAGGACGGCGAACCGAAGAGCCAGAAGCGTCTGAAATGCATTTCGGAGATCCTCTTGAGGCTTCTTGGGGGTCTCTTGGGGGCCTCTTGGAGGCCTCTTGGGCGCCTCTTGGGGCCGTCTGGGCGCCTCTTGGGGCGCTCTTGGGGCGGTCTTGGGGGCTGTAGGGGCGCTCTTGGGGCCATCTTGGAGGAGATCGATCAACGAAGGGGGGTTCCCTGATTAGCCTCCCCCCTCAGGAGCTCCAAACATCGCCTCTTGGGGCGCTCTTGGGGCGCTCTTGGAGCGCTCTTGGGGGCTCTTGGGGCCGTCTTGGGGCTCTCTGGGGCCTCTTGTGGGGCCCTCTTGGGCCATCTTGGAGCCATCTTGAGGCTTTGGATGGCCATCGGAAGCGAAACGGGGAGCAAGCAACACACATTGATTTTCTTAAGGTTTTGGGGCGATTTTGGCTCTTTCGGGGCCTCCTTTGGGAGCTCCTTGGCCACTTGGAGCCGTCTTGGGGCCGTCTTTGGGCCTCTTGGGGCCATCTTGGGGTCATCTTGGGGCCATCTTGGCGCCTCTTGGGGCCTCCTGGGCGCCTCTTGGGGCCATCTTGGAGGGGATCGATCAAAGAAGAGGGTGGGGTCAATTAGCACTGCCCCCCCAAGAGGCCAAAATGGGGCCAAAACCCTAGTACAACCGATGATTTTGGCTTCCTCGCCGAGGCCGTTTTGGACGCTCCAACTACCAGCGAACCCCCCCGTCCAGGTCCAGGGGAGGGGGTAGGGGGAGGGGTAAACCCCTCCCCAAGGGGGAAGAGGGAGGGGTGGAAGAGGATCTGTTCTAGACCACCTACGCCCAGAGGGCTGGTTGGATTTCGAGTCTGAACACCATCGTGAAAGCCGCCAGCAGATTCGGGGCCGCGCCGCTGGGCTGGTGAGACGTCTCCGCTGGGCCCCCTCTTGTGTGGAGATTCTGGTGAGAGGAATCTTTAACCCGTGTTAGAATCCTCTAGCCAAACGCTGGTTGAGAAAAGAGACGAGGAGACGGGTCAAGTGGAGGGGAAACAGGAGGGATGCTTACGAAGGGAAGGATGAGGATCATGCTGGTGATTACGACGATGGTGGTAATGATGATGTTGATGGTGCAGATCGGAATGCTGGTCGTGTTAATGATGACGAAGAGGAAGAGGATTACCATGATCAGGCGGGTGATGGGGTGGGGTGCTGACGGGGATAGTGTTGATGATGCTGACAGTGGTGTCTACGACGACGAATCAGATCGTGGCGATCAGGATGATGGCCATGATGGTGGTGGTGGTGACGCTGCTGGTGATCAGGAAGATGAGCAACAGCAGCAGCAGCAACGCAGCCGTTCTGGCCTGAACGCGCACTGGCGGCCCCCGCGAGGGCGCGCTGGGGCGATGCAGGGCTTGCCGCCCGACAGAGGGCGAGGTGGCGGCCCCGCTCTGGCGGAGCCGCAGACTGCAGACTGCGGGGACTGCGCGGCCGAAGACTGCGCGGACTGCGCGGCCGCAGGGGCTTCGGACTGCGCGGCCGAAGGGGCCGCCGCACCTTCTGGCGCCACTGCGGTCGGCGGTGTGAACGCGCTATGGAACCACAAGCCCGACGCACTTGCCGCACCCAGGGTCGCCCGCAGGGGCGCGAAGATAATTAATTGCGCTTTGCGCGTCGTGGTCAAGGGCCGCCGAGTCGGCCTTCTCGAGGCCGAGCTGGCCTTCTACAGGGGGGCGGCTCGAAGGTTCGAAGATAATCGCGCGTCGCGCATCGAGGGCATGGTGAAGTATGCCGGCCAATATTATTACTAACCATCTTGTGGAGCTGCGTCCACGTTTTGAAGAGACAGCGTCCCGCGTCCTCACCTTCATCCTCGCCTTCCTCCTCCTTCTCCTCCTCCTCATCATCATCATCATCACTCCTCTTCCCTCCTCCCTCCTCTCAACCCTGCCTCTGCCCTCCGCATGTCATCACCAGTCATCATCATCATCATAATCACAGTCATCATCACCACCACCATCATCATCATCATCATCACCGTCATCATCGTCATCGTCATCGTCATCGTCATCGTCATCGTCATCGTCATCATCATCATCATCATCGTCGTCATCGTCATCATCATCATCAGCATCATCATCATCATCATCAGCATCATCATCATCACCATCCTCATCATCATCATCGTCATCATCATAATCTTCATCACCATCACCATCATCATCATCATCATCATCATCATCATCATCATCATCATCATCATCATCATCATCATCATCATCATCACCATCATCATCATCATCATCATCATCATCATCATCATCATCATCATCATTATCATCAGCATCATCATCTTCATCACCATCACCATCACCGTTGTCATCACACTCATGTCGGCACACCCTCACACGTTTCGTGGCTCCACAGAGAGCTCCACCGATTGCCCCAGTGGCTGCGGCCGCATGCGTCCGCCACTCTACTTTCGGCACAACCCTCACGCGTTTCGGCCGCATGCGTCCGCCACATTCATTTTGGCACACCCCTTCGCACTTTTCGTGGCCCCAGAGGCAGGTCCATCGAATGCCCCCGTGGCCTCTGCCACATGTGTCCTCCACATTCATTTTGGCACACCCCTCACACGTTTCGTGGCTCCATTGGGAGCTTCACCTAAGGCCGCAGTGGCTGCGGTCGCATGCGTCCGCTGCACATTTCGGCACACCCCTCAAATGTTTCGTGGCCCCAGAGGGGGCTCCATCGAATGCCCCAGTGGCCGCGGCCGCATGCGTCCCCCTCACCTGGTACAGCGCTTCGTTGCCCCGATAGGGAGTCCCACCGATGAACCCAGTGACCCTGGCCGCAAGCGTTTCCCCGACCCAGTACAGCGTGTCGGGGCCGCATAGGGAGCTCCACCGAACGCTCCAGTGACCGCGGCTGCATGCGTCTTCTCCGACGAGTACAGCGTTTCGTGGCCCCATACGAGGCTCCACCGAGTAACCCAGGGGTCGCGGGCGCATACATCTCCCCCACCCCCTGCAGCGTTTCGTGGCCCCATAGGTGGCTCTACCCAAGACCCCAGGGGCCACGGCCGCATGCGTCTCCCCCACCCACGACGGCACACCCCTTACGCGTTTCGTGGCCCCATAAGGGCGTTTCACCGACAGCTGTACCCACAACGCGGGACTCACAACTGCATATGGGGTCCTTAGCCAGGCTACTTCACCAGCGCCAACGCGTTGTTCTTCTAGCCCGGGCTTGTCTGTGAGGGTCATGTTTGCAAGGCCAGTGGGCGCATTGCGCTAGCCAGCCAATCACAATGATCTCTGGTCGTGGCCCGTTGTCTCGTGGCGCGTCGTCTCTGGTCGTGGCTCGTGGTCTTTAGTTGTGGCTTGTGGTCTCTGGTCTTGGCTCTTGGTCTCTGGTCGTTGCCCGTGGTCGTGGTATGGTACAGGGTAGTATAGTCGGCTTCATGCGCTGCACTGGCACATATCGTTACTCTTTCACATCATCGCCGCGCGATGACACAGGTTTTCCCGTCGTGGCGCGTCGTAACCAGTCGCATCCTCTAGCTTCTCCTCCGTGCCAGAGGCACTGAACAAAGTGAGCGATCGGAATTCACCAGGGATGTCAATTTGTTCGGCGAATCCATTCGGAAGGCCCTTCAAGATTATTGGTTTTTGCGCGCATCTCGATCGAGGTGATAAGCTCATGCGCGCATATGTCATACGCTGGGGCACCAGGGGCCTGGGCCACAGGCCTGCCCCCCCTGCCCCCCCCTTGCGGAATCCGCTTGGGCCCTGGGGGACAGCGGTCCCTCGTCTGAACTCCAGGGGGGTCTTTGGGCCCTCAGAAGCTTCCACGATGGCCTACGAGGATGGCAAGAAGCCGCCAAGACGGTCCAAGAGCGTTCCAACCAGCCCCAGACGGCATCAATACGGCCCAAGAGGCCCCCAGTGCGGCCCAAGAGGCCATCAATGCAGCCCAAGCGGCCCCCAATGCGGCCCAAGTGCGAAGTAAGGCGACCCATATGGTTCCCAAGCAACCTGTGGAGTTTGGTCCTCGTTTTGAAGAGGCAGCGCCCCGCGTCCTCACCTTCCTCCTCGCCCTCCTCCTCCCTTCCCTTGCCTCCGTCCTCCGCATGTCCATTTCGGCACACCTCTCAAACGTTTCGTGGCCCCATAGGGAGCTCCACCTATGGCTCCAGTGGCTGTGGCCGCATGCGTCTGCCACATTCATTTCGGCACACCCCTTCGCACGTTTCGTGGCCGCAGACGACGTCGAATACGACGACGACGATGACGACGACGACGACGACGACGACGACGACGACGACGACGACGACGACGACGATGAAGACGACGATGACGACGACGACGACGACGCGACGACGACGACGCATTGCGGATGCCCCAAGGGGGTGGGGGGGCTGCGCATGGGGGGGGGCTGCCCAGGCCCGCTGTCGTCGACGACTACGACGACGACGGCGACGACGACGACGGCGGCGACGACGACGACGATGGCACTAAAACGATGACAATGCGACGACGGCGACGACGACGACGCACTGCGGCTGCCCCATGGTGGTTGTGCTGAGTAGACGCGCCGCAGTCGACGACTGGGACTACGGACCACGACCACGACGACAAAGACGAGGACGAGGACAAGGACGACGACGAGGACGACGACGACGACGACTGTGGCGCGTCAGTGGTCAGCCTGGGAGGAGGAAATTTTTGCCTCGGATGTATGCGATCCTCATAACAGTTCATATACGAAACACAGTCGTTTTGAGGCTGCCGTGCACGGAGGTACACGATCCGCTCGGCTGCGCCCGCAACGATCCCCTGGCGCGCGTGATTAAGACATTGTTTCGCGCCACGCGGGATCTATTCATCGGCCGGGGGGGCATCATTTGTTAATCACAGGCTGATTTGCAGGAGCTCCACGTAAGGCCCCAGTGGGTGTGGCCACATGCGTCCGCCACACTTACGTCGGCCCCCCCCCCTCACACGTTCCGTGGCCCCATCGGATGTTCCACTTAGGGCCCCAGTGGATGTGGCCGCATGCGTCCGCCACAATTTTTTCCGCACACACCTCACACGTTTCGTGGCCCTGATGCCCCAGTGGCTGTGGCCGCATGCGTCCCCACCAAACATGTCGGCACACCCGTCACACGTTTCGTGGCCCGACATGCACCGAAGGCGATTGTCGCAACCGCGGCATTCACAATTGCATATGGTTGGGTCCATCGCCAGGCGAAGTTTCGTATGCTTTTGTTCCCTACATCCTAGGTTTGATTACTGTTCCCAACCTTCTGGTGGTTTTGGGTCCTAGTGTTTCCAAGAGGCAGCACCCCGCGTCCCTCCTCTCCTCTTCCTCCCGCTCCTCCCTCCTCCAATCCCTGCCTCTGCCTTCCGCGTACCCCTGCTTCGTCACACTCCCTAACTGCCTCGTGGCCCCATAAGGAGCTCCACCGAAAGCCACAGAGCGAGCGTTGACATGCGCTCGCGCCACCCATCCAATACAGCGTTTCGCGGCCCCATAGGGAGCTCCACCGAAGGCCCCACGTCCCCACCGAAGGGGCGACAGCCTGTCTCGACGTTCCCTTTTTTCCCAACCGTCTTGTGGTGTTGGGTCTTCGTTTTGAAGAGACAGTGCCCCGCGTTCCTTCCTCCCTTCTCCTTCCTCTTCCCCCTCCCTCGTCCCTCCTCCCATCCCTGCCTCTGCCCTCCGCGTTTCCCTGTCGGTACACCCCTCACACATTTCGTAGCCCCATAGGAAGCTCCACCTAAGGCCCCAGTGGGAGGGCTCGCATGGCACCGCCTTCCCATGTTGGCACAGTGTTCACATGTTCTGTGGCTCCTAGGGAGCTCCACCTGAGACCCCAGTGGGAGGGTTCGCATGGCACTGCCGCCCCGTTTCGGGACACCCCTCACACGCTTCGCGGCCATATCGAGACCTCCACCTAAGGCCCAAGTGGGAGGGTTCGCTTGGCACCGCCGTCCCATTTCGGCACGCCCCTCACACGTTCTGTGGCCCCATAGGTAGCGCCACCTGAGGCCCCAGTGGGAAGGTTCGCATGGCACTGTCGCCCCATTTCGGCACACCCCTCACACGCTTCGTAGCCCCATCGGGAGCTCCACTTGAGGGCCCAGTGGGCCAGTGGGAGGGTTCGCACGACACCGCCGCCCCATTTCGGCACACCCCTCACGCGTTCTGTGGCCCCATAGGGAAGCTTCACCCAAGGCCCCAGTCGGAGGGTTCGCATGGCACCGCCGTCCCATTTCGGCACACACACACACACACACCTCACTCGCATGGCGGCCTCGCCCCATTTCGGTACACCCTTCGCACGCTTCGTGGCCCCATGAGGAGGTCCACCGAATGCGATACTCACAACCATTGTATGCACAACTGCACATGGTTGGACCCTTCGCCAGGATACGGTTCTGATGTTTTGCTTTGCTTTTGTTGTTTCGTTGTGTGTTGCGTTGCGCGTTGGTGTGGTATATCGCCTTCACGGGTCGGCTACAATGATGTAGTACCATGCATACTTCAGAACATAAATAATTATGCA